CATCACCCCTAGAGTATTTGCAATTTCGATCTTAACCATGAATATTTAACTTTTGTTTTTATTGCTCTTCTGTTTGTGTTTTTGTTTTTGCATGTGCTCTGTTCTTGTTGTTTTTGTTTTGGTTTTGGTTATTGTTCTTGTTGTTGGTTTTCACTTAATCACTTGTTGAGAGCGAGACGGCAAGTGTTGGGTTTTTAAGTTGAAAATTGAATTTCTAAGAATTACAAAGCAGCAACAAGAGAGCAACAAAGTGCCGTTGGCGTCTCGCGGCCCCCAAAACCAAAACCGAAACCAAACCGAATCAACCCCAATCCGAATCGGAATCCCCCGTCGAATGTGTTGCATGCGATACGATACCATCTCACCACCATCTTATTCCGATCTGGCATTGCCTCAAGTCCCATATCAACCATATAAACCATGTCCCATATCCCATATCCCTTTTTTCTCCCCCACACTTTCCATATCCCGTATCATCGCGGCGGGCTTCGTTTCATTGCATTGCATTAATTTTGCCAATTAAAAAGTAAATAGAGCCTGCATCCTTTAGCTGGATATCTACCCAATTTCCCCCCACTACCTCTCATCAGAGAAAGAGAGGGGTATATTGCGGGTGAAAGAGATGGGGCATCTTTTTCGGTTGTGGGCGCGCAAAAGTTTTCAATACAATTTAATCCAATCTGCACACAAATACATACCTATATGGTTTGAAGGATGGTGTACATATATATCTTTGTATCTCAACTGATGAATTCCACAAGCAGTGCCACGCCCCCTGCCCGCTTCCCGCCCCTGGATTCATTTTTGGATTGCCTCAAGTGCCTGGGCTCAATTCAATCACTTTTTTTCGGGGGAAGCCGCACAGTGGTTGGAGATTTGGCCATGGCAACCGCGGTATTTTGCCCACTGTAAGCCCGCACAAATAAAATCGCCAAAAGGCAATAAAGTTCCCTTATACCTTGAGAGATTTAATAACAGCAATAATTTTATATTATTTAGTTTGAAGTCAACAAAGAGGCCATACTTCAATATAATTGGAAAATAGAATTATTACAGAGACCAATTTTAACTTATATTATTAAAAACAGCTTAAAATTAGCATACATTGGGATAATTGTGGTAATATTTATAATTCCTGTTTTATTATAATTAAAAGACAGCTGCTTGGTTTGATTTTCATTAAAAATAATTTGTAATTTTCTGATTATTAGAGCTTTTCTCTCTTGTTTTATCCATTTTCTCCCAATCATTTTACTTTTTCCCTTTGGTGACAAGTTCAGTGAAGAGTCCAAATTGCTTAGCATATGTGTGTATTTAAGGTGCTTTTTTTGGGCGTTCTTATTTTTTTTTGGGGGCGGTGGTTCCTCATAGTCTTCTGGTTGCGACTCAAGAGTGGGGCAGGCAATCTTCTGGGGCATCCAGTCGCAACCGTTTTGTGGCGCAATTGTCTCAACCGTCGACGCGTCGCTTGCGTATCGCATATCGCACCTGATGGGCTGGTCCAAAACAGCCGGCTAAAACCGAACCGCTCCACCCTTTTGCTACACCCTCCTCACCTTTCCATCTTTTTCTTGGCCGGATTGCTGCTCTGCTCGGAGCCCAAGCCCAAGCCAAAGCCAAAGCCAAAGACCCGGGCCCAAGTGGCAGCAGCCAACCATTCGTATAATTGTCGATGCGTTAAGGTAATTGTACACCCAGCCAACTGGCTGCCAACTGAGGCAGCAGTTTAGACCTGGCCAAAAGCAGAGCGGAGCAAGGCCGACCCAGCCACAGCACTGCGAAAAATTAGTTTGCGCTTCTGGCATTTTAAACAAATTTTTCAAGCTGTAACCCTAAGTTTGAAAGCTTAATATATCATCCTAAATTGATTTGTTTATTTTTGTGGAAATTTATTTTTTTAACCCTAAGACTGAGGGCTTCAATAAAACATTTTATTAACCGAATTAAAATTTTTGGCATAATACTAGGCCCAGCTTTAAATGAAAATAAATACAAAATAGGCATTTCATGTTTTAAAAACTATTTATATTTTTAAGCTGAAATTACTTTTAGAAGCATTTTTGTTAAGCAATAATTTTATCAGCCCAATTTCCAGAAAATATTTTTAAAATATCTCAAATTTCATCAAATTAGAAAGGTCACTGTTATGTTTATAATTTTTTTTCTTAAGTATTTTAAAAATATTTTAATTCTTATCAATTTGGAAAAGTACTTTGTTTTGTTTATACATTTTTTTCTTAAAAATTTTTAATTTAAATTTTCGATGTTTTTAATTTCTTAGTCGTAAGATTTTAAATGTATCGCACAGTGCATATGTGTATCTGTATCTTGAAGCACACCGTTTCCGAGGGGGGTTTTTGGTGGGTGTAAGGCAGAGATGGTAGGGGAGGGGGGTGTTACTGGGATAGATAGCTGTGGCTTCTGTTCAATGCCGTCGCCGTAGTAGTTGCCATCGTCGATTCACTCAGTCGTTTCTAAGTTTGCGTTTGTCGTCGTTTGCCATATTGATGGCACGCTCCGCCGCCTAGCTTTTCCTCTGCCCCCCGCCCACGCCCAACCCACTTTTCCGACCACCACCCACTTTGGACGCCCCTGGAGAGCATTTAAAATTTTAGTTTTCTGCTGACAACTAGCATTTTGCCATAGACAGACATCGGTCTTAGTTTGGTTTTTGGTGTTTGGTTTTGGTCTGATTTGCTAGATTTGATTTCAGGAAATCTCAACCGTCTCTCTCCATATATATACACCCCCCTCTATCTATCTTTATCCACCTGCCTGAATGCATTCGGTTTTGGATTCCGATTTGGACACCGATTTCCATTTGGATACGCATTTGTCAAGCCCTTTTGTTTGGCTCATTGTCTCCATTTGCCTTTTGTTGCAATTGAAAAATTATAGCAATTAAATGCCGGTGAAGACGAAGACCGAACTGAATCGACCAAGGTCCAGTTGGTTTGGCAATGCGAAATGGTATTAGATTCACTGCGGTTTACCCTCTTAAATGGCGCATCAATGAAAGTGGTCATTCGATACTGCTTACCTACTAGATGTTCTGCTCATTGCGTTTTTCGGTTGAGTTCCCTGTGGTTAAAAAAATAACATTAAAAAATTGTGTACTTTTGACCAAAATCTGAATCTTAAAAAGAACCGAGGTATCCCCTTATGAAAAATTCGAAAATGGGTCAAAAAATAAATTTTCCTTAAAGTGATGGGGTTCGATAGCATTTGTAGCAAGCTGCTCAAAACAGTCGGTCTTTTAGCTGTACGCCTTGATTTGGCTAAACTACGACTGAAAAACCACTAAAAAATGAGTATTTTTGACCAAAATCTGAATCCCAAAAAACACCGAGCTACCCCCTTACAAAAAATGAAAAAATTTTTCAAAAAATAAATCTTCCTTAAATTGATAGGGATCGATAGCAATTGAAGCAAGCTGCTCAAAACAGTCGGTCTTTTATATGTACGCCTTGATTTGGCTAAACTAAGACTGAAAAACCACTAAAAAATGTGTATTTTTGACCAAAATCTGAATCCCAAAATTATAAAAATTGCGAAAATGGGTCAAAAAATAAATGTTCCTTAAAGTGATGGGAATCGATAGCATTTGTAGCAAGCTGCTCAAAACAGTCGGCCTTTTAGCTGTTGGCTACACAACGATTAAAAAACTGCAAGTAAAGGGGGTGTTTTTGGCTAAAATCTGAATTCCATTTTTCCGCCCTGAAAAAGTCTGTTATAAATAACAATAAAAATTGTATGTTTTCCAAGACAAGAAATTAATAATTTTTTTTTTACGGTATTCACTGTAAATGACGTATAGAATTCTTCGTAACCCTTATTAGCCCTAATAATTTGAAATCCTCCACATTTTCGATCGTCGATCAGACATTTATTGGCGCTTGTTTTTTGGGAATCTTTTGGAGGACTCTTTCCGAATTCCTCGACAAGGGTACCGCAGTCAGCTGCATCGGCACACATATATCACATATATCACAGTACATCCAAGGGTTTGTTCGCTGGCAGTTTCGTATAATTTTTATATGCAGTCATCAACAGCTCATATATATTTTTATTGCCAGCGTGAACAGCGATATGCATCTGAGGCATCAGAAACAAGAAAAAGATCGGGCGGCAGATGAAGATGCGGCTGAATCCGAATCCGAATACGAATACGAATACGAATCCCAATCCAATGATCATTATGATGATGATGATGGTGAGGATGGGGATGGTATGGTATGGTATGGGATGGGATGATGACTATTTCTGCGTACAGATTTCCAATAAAAATTCTGTCGACTTGAGTTCGGTTTTCGGCCGAGTCTCCGTATTTCATTTGGTGTGTGAGCGAGATTTACACGCTGATACAAGACTATATACACAAAAGTAACAATAAAGGCTGACTGAGGAGATATACGTTAGTCACTCCGATTCCGATTCCGATTCGTTGGCTGTCTCTTTCTGGCCCTCTGGGCGTTAAGATTTATTTCTTTATTTTGGCAGCCAGTGGCCAGTTGTCTCTCTGTTTTATTACCAGGAAATTTGTATTTAATACGTTTTTTCCGCGTTTTTGTAGCGGGTTTCGGGTGCGCGACATTGTCGCCCGCTTGAGCTTAACCCACTAACCGTAAGGTTCTCCAACTAACCGTCGGTTATCTAGGCCCTCGATCGACACTCTTACAATGGGTTTCAATGGGCTTACCCATGATCTAGTTGGCCCAAATGGTGTGGTCGGTAGCCAATTTTCAATGGAAGCCACACACAATCAATCGGTTCGCAGAAGAGCTTCGAGCTTATAGGGCCTATAGCTTCTTTATGATCTTATCGACGACTTGTTGGCTCGCTCTAATCGATTTCGAGGTATTAGTAGGGCCCTGTTTTTGGGGAAAAGGTCTTACAGAACATGGAAAATAGATAAAACAACTAGCGAAATAGTTAGTAGATTTTATAAAAACAAACAGTAAAGATGGCTAGAGTAAACTGTCAGTTGATAAGGCTGCAGAAGCCTATGTAAAAAGTTCATTCCAAATTGGAATTTCCAACATTAACAGTGTCTAAATCCAAATCTCAGAAATATATATATTTCCAAAAACAATTATCATGGGTCGCAGTAAGATAAGAAGGAAGGTGCATTTGTATCGTCCTTTTATGAATCGAAGAACTACAGAGGATTACTATTTGACGCCCGAGCAGGTAAGGCGTATAGTCCAGCGATGGTATTTCATATGGAACCCTCTTTCGGAATCGGAATCGAAGTGCAGTTCCATTAAAGAAAGCCCCTTAAAGGAGCCAAGTGCCTATGGCGATTGGCATTTGCTAGGGGGGAAATACGATTTCGAGACGACTGGCCGGCAAATCCTGATGAATCTGAGCAACCATCCCGCTCCGGAGGTAATATATCCGCCCGTCTCGTTGGCCTCCATAGTGCCCAACACCCTGCGGATTAACAGTCCACCTTATATTACCCATACGATCTTCGAGCATGTTATGGAGGACATATGTGAACGGGCCAAGGCCTATATGAAACCACCCGAATGTGAGGGAGCCGTGGGCTATGATCGACGGTACTACGACAGCCCCATTCTGATAAAAGCCCTTGGCAATCGACCCAGTCGTCGTGGTCCCTTACCCACCCGAAGAAATATGGATGGGGAATCCTGGATGGATGGCCGCTACTGTGCCAAATTATTTGTAGAACTCAATGAACCTCTGGTGGACTATGCGAAAATTCGTCAATGCCGCAGGCGTAAGAGGCCACCATCGAAGCGAAGTAAACTCTTGGCGGGATTGAAAAAGAAAACGGTTGCCAAGAGGAATACCAAATGGACGCGTCCACGGGCCAGGCTTGTATTCCATTCGGAACCAGAGCGGATTGACCAACAGTGGGAGATTTTCGAGGAGGAGCCACTGCCCTCGGATGATTATTATGTGGAGTATGTGAATGACGAAGTCGATCTGGAGCCAGAGCAATCCGGGCACTCCTCGGTGGACGACGATTTGATACCAAAGGAAACCCGATCCCAATCGGATCTTGCACTGGACTACTTGAGGGCCTGTCCAAGGCTAAGGCGCTGTCACAGCCTAGGAAGTCTTTAATATATGGATGTATTTTTCACTACCACTTGATGCAACATTTTAAAAATTCCAATGTGTCAATATTAAGAATTCAAAATTCCAATACGCGTATCATCACTTTTCGAAAAGCCCTATTTAAGCAACAATAATATATAAATACTTTCAATTTCGAGAAGTCCATTCAAGAAAGCCCCCTTCTCGAGACCCCCTATTCCGATTTCACGCAATTAAAAAGACCAGCAGTTAAACGAGGAAAAAGAGCGGCAATTGTAACAGGCGGCAAGCTCATCGATCAGTTGAAATTAATAAAATACTCAATAAATGCGCTCACAAAAACGTGTGCAAACAATCGATCAATCAGCGATTTGACAGGCCCGCAAATCGCTGGCTGAGTTGGATTCGGATTTGGAATTGGGACTGAGACTTGGACTTGGTCATGGAATGGCGATTGGGTCTGGGGTATGGAGGCCGAGTTGGCTGACAGCCAGTCTGCTACCAATCTGCGAGTCGAGACTTCAAAACAATTACACAGCAACATTTCCGAGGGCCAAGCATCTGCATCTGTGTAGCTCTGTGAGATACTCGACTTTCTTAGGGGGCTGAATATCCGAATTGGAATCATGGAATCATAATCGGAATCGGACAACTGCCACCGTACAACTGCGACGACTGTTGGCCTGTTGATTCAAGCGATTAATCGATAACAAATAAAAACATTTCGACAACTACTTCCAAAGAACGCGCTCCCAGCAGCCGCAAAACAGCGGTGCCAACTCCAGAACAAAACAGACCAGGGGCCCCAACTCCCTTTCGCTACAGTGAGAGAAATGACTGGCAAACCAATATCACAAAATTTAAAGTATTATAATCTTGACTTATGTATTTATAACAAATGTTAAAAAGTTACTTGGGCGGATATAACAATTAAAGTCCCATAACTCCAAAACGACTGCGTAATGTATTTATTTAAAAACGATAAAATTAAAAAAAAATTCTAGGAATATATTTACATAATTATAAATTTATGTGTTAAATTCCTTTTTAAAATAGGTGGATAATATGATGATATTATAGACAATTTATTTTTGTATTGTTTGAAAAATATTAGAGCATTGGATACCAGGAACCAATTTTTATTTTCTAAAAATATTTTAAAAAAAGTTTCGCCTTAATTTTTTTTTTAAATAATCATTAAGTGCAGCTTTTGTGTAGGCTTTTATATATATAAGGAACTTCTAGTTTTGAGAATTTTTTCTGTATTTAAATTTTTGGAACTTGACAGAGATTTTTCGCAGTGCACCCCGCCCCCTGGGGCAACTCCATCGGAGGCTGTCAACAACTCGACATTGTGTGTATGAGTGGCGTGGTACGCATAAATGCCATGGAAATTTTCTTTTTAATCAATTATGAGTATTAAGCCAAGGGGCCAACCGTCCATATGGGGATCGCTGGATGTGTGATCGCTGGGAACGGGGTGCTCCGCGGAGGGATTCGGCGGATTCGGGTGATTCGGGGGACCTCTCTGTGTATCTTATATCTGGTATATGGTATCTGGTATCTCCGATCACCGATCGTTGGGGTGAGAGAAAAAAGAGCTCGAACGCAAGGCGCGCGCGGCGGCCGCAAGATAAAAATCGCAAACATTCTTTATTGAATGCTGTAGATGCCAACGCCAGACATCTCCCTGAACACACATATCCATGTGTGTGCGTGTTTACCATACAAGTGTAATCCCTAAGACCAAGTGGAGTGGCACTTCGAGTACTTCTCCAGCTGAAGTGGTGGCCTACGGTAGGCAAACTGCCAGTGCTCTCCCCATAAACGAACTTGGAACAGATCTGCAGGATCTTCTGGGGAAGAATTTCAAATTCTACACCAAAACATGAAGTTTGCAGATCAATAGAGTTCTTTAAAATGTATTTCAGTTCTAAGAAAGGACTGGAATGTAGATTGACCTTCTCTTAAAGGATATTTGTGCCCCAAGCAAGGACAAAAAAACATTTCAATCCATGTGGAACCTTCACTTCTAAATCCCCGAAATGCTTACATATTTTAGATAGAACCCACATGCCCGGCGTCTCAAGAAGAAGCGCACAACGTCAAACAAATCATAATCGGTGGCTGGTAGACAGTAGCTGCATACGCTTCAAACGGTCGACAGTTTGTCTGTCAAATTGACATTACACGCAGCGACGCAACTGCGACGCCGGCAGAGGGTAAGTCAAGTGTCGGCAGAGGCAGTGGCAGAGTCACCAACAAGTTGCATTTACATGGCACAGGCTGAAGGCTCTGCTTTTGTACACTGACCGAAAAGCTGTCAACTAAAATTAGGCCGGAATTAACAGCTAAACAAATTATGGTATAAAAAAACCATTAAAACCGGAAAAATCCAAAGATGTTGCCAAAGTTGAAGAAAATGAACTAAAATCACACAACAAAATAGAAGGGAAGTGGAAAAAAAATATCTAGCAACCTGAAACCATTTAAAAAGGTCATGAAAAGTATGCTGTGAGAAGTATATTTTAACCTTACGCACTTTCATGGAACATTTCAAATCTCTAACGTTTTGACGTAATATTCATAGCATACTTTTAGACACCTCTATGCGTGTTTTTAAAGCTCTTCCAATTTTTGTTAGAACACCTCTACAGTATCTTAATTTTTATACAATTTTATGGTATATTTTAAACCTCTAACGATTTGTTTAATATTTGTAGCATACTTTTAGACACCTTTATGGGTATTTTTAAAATTCTAGGAATTTTGGGTAAAGTACCTGTAAATGTTTCAAACTTGTAACTTAATTGGTTGTTTCAAGCCTCTTCCGATTTGTTTATTGGAATTTTTATTAGAACACCATAGTTTTCCATATGGTTTCCGAATAAAACGAAAATATTTCTGATAACCCTGGAATTTTTCCCTGTGCACCTGGACTTGGACTTGGTTCGGGACTTGGTCTTGGACTCGGATTTGGAATCAGGGACTGGGGACCTGGCCTGAGTTTCATTCCGGGCGTAGGCCGCTTGACTGACTGACGGACTTGGCTGTTGGCTTCTGTTTGCGGCGCTGACTCAGCTGAATCTGGACCCGAATCCCCGAGTTCGAGTTCGAGTCCAGGCCTCAACCTGAACCTGAACCTGCAGCTGAGGCTGAAGATGATGAAGCCGAGGCGAAGGCCTCCAGCTGAAGCCGATGATTTTCCGCTTGGCTTGGCTTCGCCTGGCAACCTGTTGGCAACTCATTAAATAATGCCGATGACTGGACAAATTCGTATTATGTTTTTTTTTTTATTCATTTTTTATTATTTCGTTTTATTTATTTTTTTTCTTTATTGTGGTGATTAAACAAGCCCAGCATAATCCTTGCTGTGCAGTGGAATTGCATTTGACTGGGAGACCGGAACGTTGGCGTTATAATTCTACCAGCCCACCTCCATTCGGGGCTTCTCCTTTATAACCCCTCCCCCGGTTGTCCCGATACCCCGATCTCCTCCAGCTGACAGTTCTCCTCCTGGCGATGTTGCTTCTGGTTCCTTCTGTTCCTGTGTGTTTGTGTGCCAAAGTGACACTTGTACAGATTTTCTTAATGCGCCAAAGTGCCACTTGTCGTCTGTTGACGCTCCTCGTCCTCAGCTCCATCGTCCCCATCCCCGCCAGAAATCCCCCAGAATCCACAGAAATCCCAGAATGCCAGAGATCGAAGCCGTTTTGTACGTGTCTCTTGGCAGTGAAATTTTGTGAAATCAGCGCTAAAACGAAGACAAGTTGTCCGGGGAACATGGAGGATTCGAATCCTCAAAACTTGTCCGTCTCTCTCTCTTTGGCCCAGGCACAATTCTAATTGCTGGCCAACGCACAATTTGTCACATGCCAAATTAATAAACGACTTTGGCCAAGAGATGCACCTTCGTTTTTGGGCCCGCAAAACAGTAGCAGCTGATTTTGGCCTCAAGTTGGCAGAATCGGTCCTTTGATTGAGTGGATGAGTTGTCTTTACAGCTGTGTGGGTTTTCCTCTAGTAGTTTTCCAGTGCAAAGCAACTTTAACACTTCAGATGTGTGAGGTCTTAAGGCAACTGCAGTCCATATATCATTCTTAAGGCGGCCACTTTAAAAAGTGGGGACATTATTTCCTTAAATAAAAATTATATGACAGATATAATTTAATTTATAAGTCTGAGAAATATTATTGTTCCGAATTTAATATTTTTAAAGATATAAGGAAGCTTAAAAGCAATTATACGGAGCTAAAATTCATTGAACTTTTTCTGACCACTCCAATTAGGGGGCAACCATTTATATATTTCACCTTTTGAGTCGCCATTATGAGTAATTACCTTCCTCCAATCACCGAACATTTAATAAATCTCAAAGGGGCGTTCTTAAGCTCCAGCAAACCAGCGACTTACTCTTAATTGCACCTAGTTGTTGTGATTATTATAGGTGTGTATCTATATAAAGAAGGGGCTGGGTATGCTCAACTAAGTAGTCCATATGTGAGGCTTCATATCCAGTTCCAAGTGTTTCATACTTATGGTATTTAATATGTTTACAAGACCTCGTGCACTGATTGTGAGTATATCGATGTTGGTTTATCAAAATATTATACCATTGGGAGCACTCAACATTATTGTGATTTATTTATGGAGCTGTAATTATTTAAGCTGATTGGCTTGAAATATTTCCTTAATTAATAAAAAGGTTTTAATGCAAATGTAGGGGCTTTTATAAATTATGGAAAATTTATTTTAATGCTCCAAATTTTTTAAAACAACTATGGTATCTCCTAGTCGAGCCTCTCAAGATTCCAAGGATAGCCACTTGTTGCCGCTGGCTGGATGATTTTGTTGTAATACTGGGCAGGGCCCCGGGGCAGTCTTTATTTTCTTGGTTTTTGCCTCTGCTTTTTTTCATACCCCTCTCTGGTTGAGGCTGCCACTTAATTTATTTGTCACCGAACCGAAGCGCAAATGAAGTTCGAAAAAACCAACCGACATGCAAAGGCATCCGAGAAAAGTCAACACACAGCGACCACGGAATCGTTTGAAATAATACGAGAGGGGAGGAAAACCGAAGGCAGCGGCAAAAAAGCTGAAGAAATAATTACAAATTAAAATGAAACACGGAATGGGACAGACAGACAGACGAATACATATACTCGTATGAGGAAGCCGGGCTTTGAGATGATATGGGGGGACTTTGAGGGGCCAGAGTTTTACCAAGTTTATAAATAGCTGCGTTGACGACGCCGCTGGCCACGCATGCGCAAAGATTTGTCATAATTGATAAACGACAACA